AGACATTTGCGAAACGCACGCTATATCTCAATGCTCGATCTTAATAGCGCGTGTCACCAGATACCACTCAAACCCGAGTCTCGACCCATCACTGCCTTTACCGTGTCCGGATTGGGACACTTTCAGTTCGTACGAATGCCATTCGGCCTCTCGTACGCCGACGCCACCTTACAACGGTTAATAGATAGCGTGATCGGACCTGAGCTTGGCGATTTCGCCTTCGCCTATTTGGACGATATCATCGTAGTGTCGTCCAAATTTGAAGATCACCTGCGGCATCTTAGAACCGTGTTGGCTAGGTTAAGCCGAGTCGGATTCTCGAATAATCGAGAGAAAAGCGTCTTCTGTAAGCCGGGGGATAAATATCTAGGTTTGCTGATTAACCGAGAGGGTATGAGACCCGACCCAGAAAAGGTGTGCTTTATCATGGAGTACCCCCGACCAAGAAACGTACAACAGCTGCGTACTTTCCTGGGGGTTGCTTCATGGTATCGCCGCTTCTTGAGTGATTTCGCCACACACGCTCAACCGTTAACGAAATTGACGGGGAAAAAGTGCAAATATGTGTTAGACCAGCCGAAAGAAAGGGATGATGCCTGATACTCGGAACAGTTCCGACGCGTCAAAGCCAATCCAGAGGACTACCTAGATTGGAAGGTAGTTGGCAAGGTGATGAAAAGCCCAACAATGATTACCAAGACCAGTACGGGTACGAGGATACCTGGAAGCTTGTCGTGCCACCGGAAGACCGAATGGCTGTTCTGTTCGAGAGCCACGATATTGAGACCGCCGGACATTTGGGACGTTAGAAAACCTTTGCCCGCATCGCCTAGTTCTACTATTGGCCAGGAATGTACTAGGATGTCAAAAGGTACCTCCAAAAATGTCAGATTTGACAACAGTGTAAAGTCGAACAGCGACTGCCGCGCGGTCTCATGAAGGATCGGATGTTGTCCACACCCTGGCAAGTTATGGCGGGCGACATTGCCGGACCGTTTCCAAGAAGCCCTCGAGGGCACGAATAAGTATTAGTGTTCGTCGACTTATTCACAAGATGGGTCGAATGTATACTTATACGTAGTGCCAACGGTAAGACGATCGTAAAAGAACTCCGGGAACGAGTAATCCTGCGCTTCGGCGCACCTAAGGTTTTTTGTCCGATAATGGCACTGAATCCCGTAACCAGCTTGTAGACGGATACCTGAGGGAACAGGGAATCAACAGGACCTTTACGCCGACCTATATCCCACAAGCTAACCCTACCGAAAGAGTTAATAGAACTCTGAAAACGATGATAACATCGTACCTACACGGGAATTATAAAGAGTGGGACCGAGGCTTACCTAAACTCGCGTTCGCACTGAATAGTGCTATCCACAGCTCCACGGGAACCAGCCCTGCTATGCTCAATTACAGGAGGCAGCCGGAAGCCCTGAATACCCTCCGTAGACAAAGGGACGAGCTTGCAACCCGAGAGGAAGACTTGTTCCGAATAGAGCTATGGAATGAACACGTGAAGAATAACCGATTCGTTATTCAGGAAGCCCGAGAGATCGTCTCTAACGAATCCCTTAGACAGGCAAAATATTATAATGCCAAGCATAGCGCTTCGGGATTCAAGGAAGGAGACTGAGTATGGAAAAGAAACTGCATACTATCCAGTGCGACACAGGGTATTTCCGCAAAGCTAGCGCCGAAATTCATAGGTCCTTAGGTGATCATTAAGGTACTCAGAGTCAATTCATACCCCTTATCCAACCAACAGGAAGAGGTCAAAGAATTGATCCACGCCAAAGACCTCAAACCCTATTATGGACAGGAGGACACCTTATCAGAAGATGAAACCCGATGACGAGATGACGACGATACCCCTACCACCCATGGAGTCGAGGCGACGAATCACCCGCCTATAGCGAGCGATGCGATACCACGCGAAAACGAACGCGCTATTACCACGGATAATACACCTCGAAACGATAACACGACGAGTTCGAGCCACCCTCATCGCATCCCTTCCGACCACCTTGATAAGACCTCGATAATAGCCCCATCGAATAGTACGGTAAAGCGCCCGCGGGGACGACATCGCAAGAACGCGCTGACTATTCGAGTCCCCTCATGCCAACAGAATCCACGTGTCTCCCCTTCTGTCGCCGTGAAAAGGAAGAGAGGGAGACCACCGAAAACACCGACCGTTGACGCATGATGCCCTGCGAATGAAGGACCTGGGATACCGACGCAAAGGACCCCACCTTCAATCCCAGGGACGAAGGTCCTGGGCAGCCGAACAGGTGCCCACCTTCGATATCCAAGGAAAAGATTACCGATATTGACATATAGAAATCTTACAAGATGAAGATCACGCAAGAACAAATAGAGTAAGCGGCGGCCGCTCTCATTGGGCTGGATTTAGGCCCCGCGGTCGACGGAGTTGTACACGATACCCTCCATATCATTAATGAGAAGAGAAAGGAGGAGGAACAAGCACAAGTACGAGCTCACGAGAGCTCGTCATCCGTGCTGATCGAAGAAGTGTACGACGATGAGTCCCAAATTTCGTCGTCCACCCTGGGCATCGTACGCGCGGAGACCACGTCATTGCCAGGGTCACCAGCTGGAGCCATTCAGGCGGTGGCGCCGAAGGTGTCGACGGGCACCCAAACTGACGGTGCTCCTGTCGGTACTGCCTGGCGCCCCGATTTCCTTCACAAACCACCCACGTCGGATAGTCACCGGTTGTGGGAGGAGATCGTAGAGGGCTTGAGGGAAGTCGAGCAAGGTTGGACCACCCTCAACGCGCTTCAATGAGCCGTATACGCTGAATTCGACGCGTATACGGCTAAGAGGTCACCGCCTAGCGATTTGGAACATTGCAGCAAGGTGATGTCCCGTCGGCGCCAGTTCGCCACCGCGCTGAAGGAAGTGCAGCGTCATTACCGCCAGGCTCTCGAGGGCCCAGTTGATGACCGACCTTCAGTCACCGTCAAGCCTCCAACTACCAAGGCTCCAGAAGTCGGATCGACGGCTACCATACACCAGAACCAGCGGACGTGCGGGATGAATCTGGTGGTTAACCTGAATAGTGGCAGCGTGTTCCAGGCAACCGGGCCCATCCCTATCAACCTGGTGGTGGGGTCCACGGACGAGGTGCCCCCTGTGGAGAGACCAGTATGGTCTGCACCCAATCGGCGAGATGGGTTGCCACTAACCCCCAGAGAGTGGGGAATCCCTCGGGGCACCATGTCCCATGCGTAATGGGAAGGTTGCAACATCTGCCACTATCCAGGGGTAACCCGGACGGACTGTTGCCCTCATGTCCGGCAACATCCAGAGATCGTAAATGAAAGACTGGATTGGGAGGCACGCGGACGCCCCAACATAAATGAGGAGGATCAAGAAGAGATCCCTGGACACCTGTGATCACCTTTGCAAAGGGTACCTGCCCCGGTGGGCAGGGCTGATCCCAGATCATACCCAGGCAATAAAAAGAATACAGCAATGAACACGATTTTTCGTTGCCTTTTATTCACCTTACCTCGACGGGAACAGCGCAAACAATTCTATCGTCAAGGACCCCAAGGGTCCGGACTGGAAGGGAGCTATGACGGTAAATGTCTTGTTTGCGCTATCGTCTCGATCACGCAGCTGCTTACGAGGGCAGCACCTACCGGTCGAGGAAAACGGAAAACGGGATCTCGGTATGATGCGGGACGGAACGAGCGCGAAGGTGAAAGAACCAGTTGAGGATTAGCCATCCGAGCATCAAAAGCGCAGAGGAGCCAGACATTCGAAAATTCGTGTTAGAAATCCAGGGAGTCCATAGATATTTGCCGTTATAGTTCTAGTGCACAGTGAGTGGACACAGTGCCATCGTAGGCCAACCACGAGATTGTGGAACCCCTCCACTCGACAGAATAAACATTTCATAGATAGAGAGAGAGAGAGAGAGAGAGAGAGAGAGAGAGAGAGAGAGAGAGAGAGAGACAGTAACCTGAGATACCGGATACAATACTGTTTTGCTGCCCCCTGATAGAGCGACCGTATATTTAAGGTAAGCTGATCAGCTTTACGTAGCGATTTTTGATAAACGATCGCACTTGATAGCTCTTCCCTCGTACCGTCGATTGAGCGAAAATCGGTAGCGTGGATGTAAATGAATGTCGCGAACAAAGGGTTGTGAACGAACTGGCAATGCATGATATTGTCGCGCGCGCCGTAAAAACATAAACACGCGGGCCAAGCGTATTGTAGAGTTTATTGAAAATAAACTAGTCCATGTTTGATCGAAACGATAATTTACTGTTGTCATTGTCATTACTAGTAAGGTGGTTGACTGACTCCTGTCCCCTCCTGCTCTCCGGTTAGCAAAACGTGAATATTTCGATTTCGCCACGCGCATTCAGGCACGATTATGCATCGCTCGAGACAAAGGAATAAAACGGAGATACACCCCGTTACAAGGCCTAATCGAATGTAAAATAATTCAAATATTTAGAATCTAAGTCAAAAAATGGACTTTGTTTTGAAATGAAGTCAAACGGACAGTAGTATCGTGATCAACAAGCGATAAACTATAAAGATATGCCAGTCCATTAACTGAAAATTGGATTTTATCCCTATATAAACTCATTTTTTTATTTGCCAAAAACAAACGTTTTAGAGTTGAAGAGACCTTGGATTCAGATTTAACGTGTCAAAGCACTTAAGAATATGTGTTTGTCATTTTCTTATACAGATCATTTTTTCGTAAGCTCTGTAATACTTAATCACAAACAATTTTATGATGTTTTTTGAGTAAATCATTTAGTCAACAAGACTTCAAAATTTCAAAGATAATTCACCTACTTTAAAAAAATTTACCCTAGTTGAACATTCTGTAGTAGTATTGAAACATTATTTATTTGACTACAATTAATGATTATACTGTACAATATATTGAATTCTTTTAAGAGTAAAAAGTATTGGAATAAAAATGTGTTTAATCGCCATATTTTTTTTAGTTCCAGCAGATACTCGAATCATAAGAAGCTGTGGATGGGATGAGTCCAATTACAAGGGAAAATGTTACCAAAGAGGTGGATTTGGTGGACGACAAGAAGTTTGTTCTTGCACAAGTGACTTTTGTAACGGTGTTCCTAGTAGATTTTTATCACAAATTTTGTATCTGATTTGTTTTACCAATATCTTATTATTCTACTCAATTTAACAATCCATAAATAATATTTAAATTGATATGTATTACACGGTTTCTTTTTGACGCTCAAAGAAAAGTGGTTCAAAAATAGCATAAACAGTCAATATATTTATGTACAAAAAGAATGCTATTTTATATTGGGTTTTTAAATAATTATATTAATAAATAATTTAAAAAGAACTTTTTATGATTGAAATAAATTTTTCTTTCTCCAAAAAATAAGCATAGAAAATACATCCATCATATCGACAAATATCTTATTTTATGTACTATTGATTTCCACTGAAAAAATCTTTTTGTTTAATTTTGTCATTAAGGAAAAAAACCTTTGTGCAGTTTATTTATAATACATTTTCAAATAAACTATGATAAAAAAGTTTATGTATCTTCTTTTCTCTTTCTCTGTACCGTAGATCATACAAATATATCACCAGAATTCATTTACGTGCACGCGATGTAGGTTTAATTATATCTTGTCTTTAATAATTACTGTCTTCACTATATTTGAGAAAGAATGTTCATCTTAGAATCTTAGTTTCTTTACAGTTGAACTCCAATTTTTTATTCATTACTTTTCTTGGAGTCTCCACAAGAGCGATCGTATATTTCCTTAACTCCGAGAGAGAGAGAGATTAGTGCATACAGTTGAGAAACAGTTCAAAATAAACTTTTACTGTTTAGTTTTTCTGTACTAAAATAGAAACTAATATTTCCTCTACAAAAAAAGCTAGTTATGTGGATAAAACTAATAATACCAACAATAACATCAATATCAACAATAAATCAACAACAAATGGTAAAAATTGGAATACTGTGTACAATAAAATTTATAATAAAAAAGCATTAAATAGCCCTAATACAGAAGAAGACATGTAAGAAGATAGGCAAATACTGCACTCTAGATTTTTGACTCAAAAAACTTATAGAAACCAGTAACGAAATTGACCCACATGACTTCGATACGCGATCTTAACTAAAAATTACAGTACAAAAGACCTTGTTTATGTTGCAACAATTCGTCACAGAAAAAGTATTAAAAATTTCAAATAAAAATATGGCAGCGTGAAAACAATGACTCTTGAAACTTTTTTTCCATATACAATGATCAAAATAAGAAAATGTTTGTACATAAATATATTTAATTTTGGTTAAAAAGGGAGATCCACAAAGAAAAAGGTTAGGCCTAAATTACGGACAAGTAATTTTTAATTTAATTCAAAAGCAATAATACACGGAAAAAATATTTAGAGATTTTCTCTTGTATTTGAAGTATAAAAAGTTGGTTTTCTAAATAATAGATGTATAAAGTACGTCAGCTGCAACAAACAAATGCAAACTCAGAATCTTTAAAAAATCTTTCAAGAATATAGAAAAAGAAAAAGTAAAGTACAGCGTGTATCCACTTAATAAAAACTCCATAAACATTTGAATAAAAAAAATATTCTGAATTACATTTGTTGCACACATTATTAAAACAAAATTCGATTTCATCTTTCACCTTACTTAGCGTATTTCTAAAGACAGTAAATTACTAATTATTTTCCGTCAAAATTTGTTTATTAGATCAAATATTTTATTGCGTAAAAATTGTTATAACTAATTTTTCTCAATTAATAAAATAACTCAACATATTTTGAAAAGTCATTTGCGTCAGAGGAAATGGAACTAAATGAATTCTCAGATCAGGAGTGCGACAGTTGCAGTAATAATGAAGATAAATATTCACCAGGCGCTATCAAAAATAAGACCCCAGACTCTTAAGATCAATAGAAGTTGAATAATCTTATAAGGAATTTGGGATTATCTAAAGAGGAAGCTGAGTATGTAGCCGCAGTAAAGAAAAAAAACCTTATTGTCCAAGGGGACTAAAACTAATATTTATCGAGACAAGGAAAAGAAATTTTGGGAGTTTTTTGTCAAAAATATAGAAAACTCGATAAAGTCTTTTACAAATGTAAGAATATTAATGAATGAATTTAAATCTAATATTTATATAGATTAAGAGTGAAGGTTATTTATCAAATTTTCTAAACGGGGCCTAAAAACTGTACTTTAACACAATGGAAACTTATTTGCATCCATATCGATAGCTCATTCAACGAAGTTAAAGGAACCGTACGAGAATTTGGAAATAGCAGTGGAGAAAATTAATGACATAGAACACCAATGAGAAGTTTACGGTGATTTGAAAATTTCAACTCTGATTCTAGAACAGCTCAGGTTTTATAAAATATTTCTGTTTCTTGTATCTGTAAGATGAAGAAAAAAAATTGTTATGTACAGAAAGACTGATTAAGGAAAATAGATTTTAATCCAAGGATAAAAAACATTCTCCGAGAAACCTTTAGTAAATCCTTCAGAAATTTTGCTTCTACCTCATCATATCAAATTTGATCTTATAAAGTAATTCATCAAAGCTCTGGATATAAATGAAGAATGATTTAAGCACTTAGGAGAGAAGTTTCCGGATATAAGTGATGCCGAACTAAGGGAAGGTGTTTTCGATAGTTCTCAAATCCGCACTTTATTCAGAAATGAAGACTTTGGCACAAAAATTACTCCTACAGAGTTGGCTGTAAGTGAGGTTTCAAAAAAGTCACAGAGAATTTCTTGGGAAATCAGAAAAGTTGAAATTATGAAACTTTTGTTGAAAATTTATTGAAAAACTTCATAACTTTAAAGAGTTGGGTTGTTAAATAAATTTAAAATTGTACTTTCTATATTGTTATCTTGATTATTTCCCAGAAAATCTCAGAGACTACAGTGAAGAATAGGACGAACAGCTTAAGGTAATGGAATGTTGGTATGAAGGATTATAGGATATAAATATGATGGCAGATTTTTGTTTGATGCTTAATGGGAAGACAAGCCAAAAATGCAATTGAAGAGAAATCCGTTGCATAGATTTTTTGCAAACAAAAGGGACTGTTATAAAAGGAGGAAAGTGTAATTAAAATTTGTATTATTTCGAAACATTGTTCTAAAAATAATCTTGGAGTACGGAATTTGTATGAAAGTATTGCATAGCTGAAGTTCGTTCTATGTCTGGATAAAAGTGTCACAAATTACACAGGTCGACAGCCAAAAAATCCCAGACACGTGACTAACTAAATCTGACGGCTTTGAATGCGCTGAATCCATATCCGGTGTTAGGATTCGTCCATCACCCCTGGTTCTCGAGATAGCCTAACCTAAAAGTACCAAAAACACTGTTTTTGGCAATCTTTAAGATTACGTCACATCATGGATAATATAGAGTCTGTCTAACATAGAGTCAAGCTGCGATAAGCTGCTCGTAAACTCCAAGCTACTTAATGGATTTCTTACGATTACGGATGTTATCGCCTGACGATATATCGCATTTCCTTAGCCAGATACACCCTTCCGATTACTTATAATACAACCAACTCGCCACTCATCTGGGCATCTTCTGGTCGTCATGAGTCGTGATCATCCCACTGATGGCTTGGTCGTGTAACGTCTCTTCCCTGAGTCTTATTAAGGGTTAGCTCTTCATCTGTTGTTCTCAACATCGTATAACTAAGCTGCAAATTGGGACAATCTTAGTCATCACTCTTGTTCTTAATCGGCGACGGCGCATATTCAACATCACGTCCGGGTGTTACGTTTGCCGCGGTGTTTGCCCTTACCGGCTTTACGCAGAGATAATCGGAAAACTGGTCCCCGTAGCACCATTTTCCGTTGCTACTCGAATCTGTTGCCTCCTATCAAGCCATCGCATCGAGGTTTAATCTACCCGGGAAAGCTGTCTTCTTGAAAATAATAACATTTTAATAGTATGTTACAAATGACGTTGAAAAATAACGTAATTTTTTTAATGTCATTTTCATGTCAAAATTTAGAACAAAAATGACGTCATTTTTAGGCTGTTAATAGCGTCTTTTCAGAAAATGACGTGATTGCCCATGTATTTTTACATATACGAATAAAATAACGTCATTTTCCATTAGGTAATAACGTTGTTACTACCTGACAATATTATATTTAAGAAAATTGATGTTATTTTCTTAACATTAATTCTAATCTAAATTACTTTAAAATAATAACGTTGTAAATGCAATTGAAAACCTTTATTTTATGGGTTTAATATATAATTTGTACATATCGCAGTTTTTTACATACAGTAGTTTGTGTATCTTTTATTCGTCGATTTTCATAAGCCTTGATTTATATATAAAAATGACTTTAAGAAGTTAATTTTGAGCGAAAAAATCTAAAAAAAAATGTATCTTACTCACAAATACATATCTCAGTTGACGTATTTCTGTATGTTTTCTAAATAGAATTTTTCGAGGCTTGTACCCTTCGAATCTTTTACCACGTATCGGTACAAAATTGGAATCTTTTTCAGAAATTATAGGGTTTCAAGGGATAATTATTTTAAATGGAAAAACTTTATATTTTTCAACCAAACTGGCTGAAAAATCCGTATTACAAATAATGCTGGAATATGTCAATTAGTTCACAAAATTTAATCTGTTTTCAAGCGTAAACAAAAAATTAATTTATACAAAGTTTTATAAAAAAATTAGTTTAATAAATTATTTTGAAAAAAAAATCTGAAAAAAATATGTTACCCAAACATATACATCTTATTATTAGTTGATGCATATTTACATTAAAAAAATTTTATCTAGATATAACCCCTTTGCATAGTAGAAGATTGGTTTTATCGTTGGATTTAGGTTTAGGTTGGATCGAACTTTTTTCGAAATAATAGCATACTTTCACAGTTTTTGTTTATTTTGGTATACCAAAAATATTCCGCATAATTTGTCAATCTATCACGTATGTTGGTGGAGAATACAAATCTCGAAAGAAAGATTATCCGAGCAATTTTTATTATTATATGCTATTTTATACTATGCATAACCATTTTAACCTGATCAACATAAACGATTGATTTACCAAGGTTAACGATGATTTGAAACAGTTCAGGAAATATGATAATCTTCACCAGGGTACAGGAAATTGCTTCAATAACAGCTATATGTAGAATATGACCAACAATAGAATGATAATATAGATAGCTGTAATTAAAGTCATAAAAATAATTGAAACAAATCAAGCTATCAAATAATTTTATTGAAGTGATACAAGATGATCGATAAAAGATATATTTGACAAATTTCTTATACGTCTAGGCAGAAACTTATAATAATTTTTTACGAAATAAATGTTTTATCCATTACGATTCAAATTTAACAATA